CAGGGTAGGGGAGAGACAGCAGGGGGTGGGGAGGGATAACATAGGGAGAAATACCAGCTATAGTATGTACCTAAAATAAAATAAAAAATAAAAAAATAAAAGAATTAACAAACAACTGTGAATCTATTATGTGCCAAGTACTGAATCAGGTAACTACAAATTATTTAATCTAAGCATTATACTCTGTGAAGTACACAGTGTTATTCCCATTTTACAGAGGAGAAATCTGAAGCTCAGTAGGTTATATGATACAAAAAAACAGAACTCAGATTTGAATCCAAGTCTTCTAATTCCTGGGCTCACTCACCTAAAATCACACTTGTATAAAGCTTCGATATAAAAGTCTCTACATAATAAGTGTCTAGCAAACACCTATAACAAAACATTCAAAATGCACTGTAATATTTTAAAGCTGGATTTTGAAAGGGAGACTGGGGATGGCAAGGAGGTAGCTAGATATGTATTAAAAGCCAGTTGATGTTTGGAATAGTTAACAGAAAAGTAATACTTTTTTTCTCTTTTCTTCTTTTTTTTGGTTTTGTTCTGTCACATAGGCTGGAGTGCAGTGGTACAAGTGTGGCTCACTGCAGCCTAGATCTCCAGGGCTCAGGTGATCCTTCCACCTCAGCCTCCCATGTAGTTGGGACCACAGGCACATGCCACCACGCCTGGGTAATTTTCTAAAAAAATTTATATAAAGCCAGGGTCTCATTTTTGCCTAGGCTGGTCTCGAACTCCTGGGCTCAAGCAGTTCTCTCACCTTGGCCTCCCAAAGTGCTGAGACTAAAGGCATAAGCCACTGCTCCTGGCCAGAAAGGTAGTAATTGATGGCCTGGTTTTATAATAGAAGATACCTTGGAGTAACGAAAAGAAAGTGAAAAAAAAAAGTTACTCAAAGAAACTATCAGGGGAGTCATGAATGACTGAATACAACGCAAAATTCAGTATGATTTAGCAAACTAAGCACACCCATTTATGTTGGTGGCTGTATACAAATTTGTATAACTTTTTAGGAATGCAATCTGGCAATACGTATCAAAACTCTTTAAAAGGCTTATACTGTTTGACTTACTAATTCTACCTTTGGGTATCTATTAAAGAAAACAACCCCCTAATAAAGTTTTTACTTTATGAATACAGGTGCCCACAGAATTTTTTAAATTAAAAAATAGAAATAAACTAATTAGAAAAATAGTTAAATAAACCTATTTTTAGGCCTTTTTCCACATTTCTCCTAAGTCTACCTAACAAATTACTTTTAAGCCACACTTCTTTGCCATTGTTTCTAGATATGGCTGATTTGGTACCTAACTACAGATTATACATATTTGATTACAGTACTGCTATCAGAGTACTTTAACATGTTTCACGGTCTAGATCATGAGATCCTTAAGAGCTGAAACTAAGTTACAGTCATATCAATATCCTTAGCCCACAGCAGTTAGTAAATACATTTTACAGAAATGAATGATAAATTACATAAAATCCACACGTGGACAAGACTGTGGTCCACAGAGGATGAATCCGAATTTTCTGAAGATCTATCCAATAAGCAGAAACCAACTATCAGAAGGTACAGGGAACCCGCTACTAGCCCAAGGAGTAGGTTTCCTATTAGAGGATACAGCAATAGCTGTATTAGCCTGATAATGTTTTCATGGAGGGGTTATTAACAACATGGTAGAGATCATGATGACACTAACATAGTATACTGGTAAGAACATGGGCTCTGAAGTGATACAGGCCTGGGTCTGACTCAGGTTTGTCTTAATTTGTTTGTCCATAAAATACAGTTGAACATGATAAAATCTCCTTTATAAACTTATTGTGAGGATTAAATAAGATAACACATATAAAAGCTTGGGATGGTGCTTGGCTTACAGTAAGTATTCAATAAAGTTAACTATTATTATTACCTTTCAAGCTTCTGGCCTCTGCCCTTACCAAGTGATTCAAAATGGGAAGGAGAGAAACAAACCAAATAAATCTAGACAGCATCTTTAGGAAATGTGAAGTTGAGGAATAAAAACTTCACATTCTATAGACAGAGTTGTTATATTAGCCACTTTTACTACTGGCAGATTTGGATGCTGGAGAAAAACATAATAAAGAATCCAGTCAACATTTTTAAATAGAATTTGGATTTCAGGCAAAAGAAAGGTGTCCTAGAAAGAAGCGAAAGACTGAGAACTAAAGATGGAATGAGTAGCATGAGACGGGGGAAGAAAATGCCTGCCTAGAAAATTACTAATCCAATTTATCACTGTGCTGAAGGTACCATACCTTATGCCAATGCAGCATGGTAATACTAATAACAGTAACGGTTATAATAATACAGTACTGACAGTAGCTACTACTTACACAATACTTACAATGTGCTAGGTACCGTTCCAAATGCATTATACATACTAATTCACTTAACTTGAGGGTCAAACAGGTCTGACATTAAATCTTGGTCTTGCCATCAATAGCCAAAAGCCTCAAGCAAGTTACTTCACTCTGAGCTTTCGTTTCCTAATGTCTAACTGGAGGTGAGAATACTGAACCCACAGGGATAGTATGAAGATTAACCAGATTATATATATGAACTACCTATCATAGTGGCTAATAGCTAGCAGATATCCTGGTAGCTATATCTTTATGATTACTCTTAATATGTTATTAAATCTTAGGACCAAAGAGATCATTCGGTAGGCCTGCAGAGTAGTTTATAAAGAAAATCTTTTTTCTTCCTTCTTGAGTTCCTCGTTTTAAAAATCATAAGCATGCTGCATTGTTAAGCTCTTCTCAGAATGAACTGTATATAAAATAAGAAATAGATTATTAGAAAGATAAAAAAAAAAAACCTTTAGGGAAGGGGAGATGATACATTACACTGACTAGTTTCAATAGTAATTCTAACATGCTCATGCTCCCACTATATTTGGTGTCTGGTAGATTTAGTTACTGATTACAAGTAACTGATTAGTTACTGATTAGTGGCAAATATTAAGCAGGTTTACCTCTCTTTATAGAGAGTGCACATTTAAAAAATAAACCCATATTCTCAAACCATGTGGTTGAGAATATAAATTGGGGAAATCTCTTGGGAGGGCAATTTGGCAATATCTATCAAAATTGAAATATGCTTATATTCCCTTTAACCCCAAAATTTGAGTCTAATACTTTATCCTACAGAGTGTTTCACGCATGTGCATAAAGACATGTGGCCAGAGATATAGTCATTGCAGAACTGAGGGTCACGGCAAACTACCGGAAACAGCTTAAATATTCATCAATAGGGAATTGGTTGAATAAATTATGGTATTGCCATACAATGAAATAAAGTGCAGCTATTTCTATATATACTCATTTGGAACATTTTCCAAAATATGTAGATATGTGAGGAAAAGAACATACAGTGTGTAATATACTATAATACTATTTGTGTAAAGGGGGAGAGATGAATGTAGATACTACATGTATACAAGCATACGTCTGTCTCTGAAAGGATACATAAGAAATGAGTAATCATGGTTATTTCTGGAAACGACACCTAGAAACAGGAAAATAAGGGCAGAGGATGGAGAAAGGTTTTTTCCACACATATCCTTTATATTCTTTGAATTGTTTAACTATGTAATATATAATCTATTCAAAAATTAAAAATCCATTAAAAAGACCCTTCAGCTAGCTTAAACATTTTGTTTTTCTTCATCCACAAGGAATAGTAACATTAAAAATACTACATTTTCTTAAAGTAAATAGTGCTGCAAAGAATAAAAATGGCATATGGCTGGGGGAATCTTCCAGAGAAACTACTCTACTCAGCCATCTCCTGTTCTTTTCTCTGCCTTTTAAGGTCACAGTAACACCATAGAAAATCTGGGACTCACACCATCTGTCCAGACAGTTCTATCACTGCTCATTTCTCTTGTTAAATAATCAGAATACTTCACACTTCCCAAACACTGCTACTATAAAGAGCTGTTAAGGCAGAATGAAAGAAGCTTTTTCTATCCAGATATGTAGTAGTTAGAAATGAACAGTTCTTTTGAGATTTGCAGGTTTCGGATCACGTCAGTGAGAGAAAAAATTCAAGCCTTAGAAAGAAATTTAATAACAGGATTCTAATACTTGGCTCTAAAAATTATCTTTCTTAGAAAAAAGGTAACACTCTCATAGAAGTTCTCTAAGACTAGATAAGAATAGATGTAACAGTTTAATACTGAGATAACTATACAGGTCTCTAATCCATAAATTTCTCATGACACTAAGAAGAGAAATAGTTTTCTTTACTACTACTACTACTACTAGTACTACTACAGTAGTAGTAGTAATAGCAGCTAATAATTACTTAGCACCCAGGACATCCTGACACTACTCAAAGCTCTTTTTGTGTATTAATTTTTAATCCTTAAAACCACTCTGTGGCAATTTTTAGTATAACTGCCATTTTACAGCTGAGGAAACTTAGGCAGAGAGGTTAAATAACTTGCCCAAGGTAACACAGCTGGTAAAATAAAGAGCTGGTATTCAACAGCAAGCACACTGGCTTCAGAATATCTACCTCTGAAGGTTGTTGTGAGGAGTAGATGGGTTAATACATGTAAAATGTTCAGAATATGTAAAATGACACACAGACTTTATCTATTACTCAATGTAATAGATAAAGTGATTACTGTTCAAAAAAGCTGAAGGCCACAAGTTAGGGTGGAGCTAAGGTTTCCCAGGTCAGTCTGACTCAAAACCCAAGCTCTTTAGGTTCCCATTCTTTCTCTCAGAACTGAGAATAGACCAGCTGCATCATCAGCTTGAACTGACAAACCCAGAGACAATTCCTCTTCACAAACTGTCCTTATAGATATTCTCACTTCACAAGGATAAACAGACTCTATGGATAAGTTAAGAAAGTGTTAGCTAATAATGGAGTCTTGAAAGTGGTCTTTGGTTTTCTTTTCATTTTCTACCTCCTGAAATTCTTTCTGCAGTGTCTTTATAAGTACTTATTTGATTCATACTTGAATTTTTTTCCCGTTTTGGCCTGAGTGCCTCCATTCCACATGTGGTCAGCTTCTTCATAGAAGAAAAAAATGTCAAGTTTTACATCATCCTTTCCCTGGAAGGATAGTTCCAAGCTGTCTTCTACCTATGGGAAAGATGAAAACCTTCACACACTGAAACAAAGGAAATGCATTTTTAAAAACATTTTTTTTTTAAATAAAGAAACAAATTCTTATGTTTTACATACAGAGTATTCATTCTAAGATGTACTTTTTTTTCAAGTTAAAGCACCTCTTAAATTGGGATGCATCAGTAACATATCATTTAATTTCTTAACTGCATCTAAAATAATGTTGTTTCTTACAATTGATGATAACTCAGAGTAAACCACTTATGGTAATTATCACTGCAGAAAAAAAAAAAAGAAATATCCTATTCCAGAGCAGCTTTCCGACTAAAGAAGGAAAAGAACCAAAGAAATATTATTTCCTTTAATAACCAAATAAAACTATCAGGAAACAAGTCTCTCATAACAATCAATAAATAAGTACTTAAGTAAGGAGTTATTCCTCACAGCCACATAAATAGTTTAGATCATTATATTACACACACGAAAAAAAGAAAAAACAAAAGTTAAGGTAAAAAGAAATAAAGAATTCTGGGAACATTTCCCTAAAGAAAACTTATCATACAAATAATTACATTCCCATTGGACTTGGTATATCTGTCTGCCACAGTACTAATCACAGAATAATTATTTATGCAGTCTTTCCCCCTCACAATTAGACAGTGAGCTTCTCAAGGGTAAGAACTATCATTTATTCATCTTTGTGTCACAGGTGCAAAGGACAGTGCCAGACTTATAATGAATGTTTGGTAAATGTTTGCTGAATAACTAGAGCTCTATTACTTGACTTTGACCTCAGTAAAATATTTTATTTATATTTTTTAGTAAAATAGAATAATTATGATGGAAGAAATAATTTTCTAGTGACTAAACATATTTTTACTTGCTTACTGGAGGATAACACCTTTCTGGGGAGAAGCAAATTAAGAACAAAATGATTGCAAGAGATCATGGGCTTAGGGTATAGGAATCAAACTGTCTAGAGGGAGGTTTCATTTAGACTACAATGACTTATCCCTGGTTGACCTCTGAGCAAACTACCATAACCTAGGACATGTAAGATAAACAAGAAATTGAAGTACTTATTTGAAATGATTCAAATAATTTCTACCCCTTAGCAATCAATGGAATATTTTATGTTGATAATGACATCTGTAAAATTAACTCATGAGAAACAATGTAACTTCAGGTAGGGTGGGTGGGATTCTTATTTATTATATTAATTGTATATCATATATATTGATTTTATATTACATTGTTGCCTAATATAATAGCAATAAATTCACCTATAAGAGTTCAAGATCCTTCTTTCCTCATCATTATTAGTTGGTGCAAAAGTAATGGCAAAAACCGCAATTACTTTTGCACTAACCCAATAGAAAGCCAGATTTTCTTGCTTTTGCCTAGATAGTGCAGTAAATACAAGTGGTAATAGGCTTCTGCTGAACTCATCCTAGTCAGTACTGAGTGATAAAATTATGTATGCAGCATTCTTAACCATGTCTGAGTTGTTTAATTTAAGCTTTACAATTGAGATATGTTACTTATGAAATGAAGCCACCTTTTGTTACTGACCTTCCCAAATTTGTGTTTGAGTGGAAGTCCTGCATCCTGAAATGCTAAAATAATATCAGATTTGTAATCTTGTATAAAAATTCCTAGGTCGACATCTTTGCTATAAGGAATAATGTTGCATTGTCGATACCATCCTAAAAAGAAGATTAAATTTTTTTAACAAAATTTAGGTTTGGAAAAAAATAGTTATTATAACAAACGATATTTGTAACAATCATTTTTTTTTTCTTTTTTTAAAGAGACAGAGTCTCACTATATTGCCCAGGCTGGACACAAACTCCTGGCTCAAGTGATCTCCTTGCCTTGGCCTCTCAAGTGGCTGGGAGTACAAAATGGATTTTATTTCATAGGATTAGACTTAAGGTGCTTTACCAAAATTATTTTTAAAAATTAAATCTCAAACTAAATGACTTTGTTGGAGTAGACACCTGAGCCTTCTTTTTTTTTTTTTTTCCCATTTATTTATTTTATTGCATTTTAGGTTTTGGGGTACATGTATCTATTTTCAATGTCTGAGCACTCTCAGCTTTCTCAAAAACTTTCATGATATGTTTTAGTTTCTCAATAAACCATTAGCTTTAATAATAAGTTGCGGGTGAGAATGTTTAATCATTAATCTCTAGTGGTAGAGGGGGCTGTTAAGATATGCAAAAAATATTTTTGCATATCTTTTGCTTAATCAATATATTTTTCTTGAGCAATCATTTGTAGAACCTAGCAGCTCTCAACAGTGACTACCTAATGAGTCACATGAAACAGAAAAGCAGTAACAGCTTCAATTTTCAACACACTGCCAAATGATATTTCTAAGTGTCTACCATGTATGTGCTCTCAGTTAGTTGCTATAGCATTGTTTTAAAGAAATAAAACATATAGCTTAATATTATTAAGGACTCCTGGGTCTCTCCTATGATCTTCCTAATCATTCCATTTCAATTATTTCAAAAGTAAATACATGACTACGATTATCCTTATAGACATTGGTATTGGTTAATATTGTTTGGAATTATAAAATAATTCTATTAAAGAATTATAAACCATTAAAAATAGGTTTCTTAAATATCATCTAATACAACTCCCTCATAAATGCCCTTAAGTCAAAAAAACCATGGGACTAAAAACTCAAAACAAACCATGTCAAATGCCTAAGAAGTACCTTTGATGATACACATTATAAAACAATCTTGTTTCTAAAAATTAAACCTTAAAGCAAATATCATATGATGTGAGAGATGTACTTTTTTATTTTTTATTTTTTTGGCTTATTCTTCCTCCTTGGAGGAAGAACAGTGTAAATTTTCAACAAAGGCTAATAGATAGGATAAGCATATATCCCAGTTTATGCCTGAACATAATTATTAATGGTGCTTCCTTTCACTCTTAAGTCTCTTGAAGTGAACAATAAATTAGATAGCAACCCTATTAAGGCAGGAGTTGAATTAACTTTTGTACGAATATGGTTATAATAAAAAAAAAGCAAATACAGCTATAATTATCATGATAATCAAAAGATAACAAATAAAAACAAAACAAAATTTAAGATTATAAATAATTCTTAATTCCAAAGAAGTTTAATTTAACGGACAGTGGACAGAGACACAAAAATCACTCACAGGTCTTAATAGCAACCTGTTTAAGGACTATATAAAAGTCTGTATGTCCATGTCAGATGGGACCATGATGTCCAATTAGTGATACTAACAATGACCTAGGAAAGGTTGATGGAAGACCTTATGACATTCCCTTCAATGTTCCTTTCATTAGAAACATTTAGTGCAATGCAAGCTGTTTGTATGGCACATAAGTAAAGAAACGAGGGTTTTTAATAATTATTTTTAAAAGGCAATAACAATCTTTGGGATGAAATAATAAAATGCTAATTTAAGGCTTATCCGAGAATCAACCTTAGTAGTCCCCACTTATCCATGGTTTTGCTTTTAGGAGTTTCAGTTACCCATAGTCAACCACAGTCTGAATATATTAAATGGTAAATTCCAGAAATAAACAACTCAGAAATGTTACATCAAATCTTTCAGGACTCAGCCCTAGCCTCTGTGAAATGTTCCTTGATTTGCCCAGAAATTTTCAATAGCAGTCTGACACTACATTGTAACGTTACATCCTTCATCTCCCTTCATCTCAACATGCAGGCATTTTATCATCTCACACCATCTTAAGAAAAACAACACTGAGTACAGTAAAATACTCTGAGAGACAGAGAGATCACACACAACTGTTATTATAGTATTGTTAAAACTGTTCCATTTTATTATATTTATTGTTGTTTATCTCTTACTGTGCCTAATTTATAAATTAAATGTCATCATAGGTATGTATGTATAAGGAAAAAGCTGTGTATATAGGGTTCAGTACTATCAGAGATTTCAGGCATCCACTGGGGGTCTTGGAATTTATCACCCATGGATAAGGGGGCACTATTGTATAGTGTACGTGTTCTGATACAAATTTTATATATATTATTTATAATTTTTAGTAAACACAAACATGGCCTTTCTAACATTCCTTTTTATATTTCTCAAATTAATTTCTTTAAAGAAATCAATAGATCCTCCTTGCTGCATGCACTCATGTTTATTCTGTCTATAAATATGACACTTCAAATATCACTGCTATTTTGTCATCTCAAGCAGTAATTCCTAAAGACAGAGGACAAAATGACAAAAAGACAAATGGAAAGTCATAAGAATTTTACCTAGGCAAGTCCCACTGCTCATCCAGAATGGTACTCCCAATTTGTTTAATGTTTTCGCTGCTAGCTGTAGTAATTCCTTTGCACTCTTCCGAAAGGCCATGGCTTCCACAGTGTTATCATCAAGGTACTGCTACAGATATAATAAAGTCAGCTATTACAGCCATTTCTAAATTGTTAGGAAACTTTCTGTGGCATCTGAATTAAATTTGAAAATTAACCCCAGGCTGGGCACAGTGGCTCACACCTTTAATCCCAGAACTTTGGGAGGCCAAGGCAGGTAGATCACTTGTGGTCAGGAGTTCAAGACTAGCCCTGCCCAGATGGCAAAACCCCATCTCTAGTAAAAATATAAAAATTAGCTGAGAGTGGTGGCCTGCACCTGTAATCCCAGCTACTCGAGAAACTGAGGCAAGAGAATCGCTTGAACCAGGGCGGTGGAGGTTGCAATGAGCCAAGATCACGCCACTACACTCCAGCCTGGGCAACAGAATGAGACTGTCTCAAAAAAAA